AATATATATATCAACAAAACCCTAACCAAATGCATATATCAACAAAAACCAAATCAAATTCATATAGCAATAAAATCCTTTTCAAATACATATATCAACAAAACCCTAGCCAAAAACATATATCAACAAAACCCTAGCCAAAAACATATATCAACAAAGCCCTAACCAAATGCATATATCAAAAATAACCCAAATCAAATCCATGCATCGATAAATTTAATACTAAATATATAAAATAACATAAATACAACGCGCCAAAAATAACTAACGAAATATATACACCAATATCACAACCAACAACCACCATCGCCACGACCCTCACCAACACCACCACGACCACCACGACCACCAAGACCACCAAGACCACCACGACCACCACGACCACAACGACCACCACGACCACCAAGACCACCAAGACCACCAAAATCACCAAGACCACCAAGACCACCAAGACCACCAAGACCACCAAGACGACCAACACGACCACGACCACGACCACCAAGACCACCAAGACCACCAACACCAAGACCACCAAGACGACCAAGACGACCAAGACGACCAAGACCACCAAGACCAAGACCAATCACCACCACCACAACCACCACCACCACCACCACCACCACCACGACCGCCACCACCGCCAACACCAACACCACCACCACCACCACCACCAGCACCACCACAACCACCGCCAGCACCACCACGACTATCACGAATCACGACCACCACGACCACCACCACGACCACACCCACACACACACCCACACACACACGCGCAAACACACCACATCACAACAGAAACAGGCAAGGCACAGCACAAGCAAAAGCGCAGCCACCAACAAACCAACCAACCGCCATGGATGAGAATAATTAGCCTGGCTACAGAGAGTGGTGGAAAGGCTACCCCGAAAAGAAAGAACAAGCCCACTCGACCTGGGACTCATACACCTTCACCGCTTCGACAAGTACAGACGGCCATGGTGGGCACTCTCGATCCTGGGCGTGGCTTGCAACACTTTCAACGAGGGCGCTCAGGCCATGAAAGCGCATCGACAAAGGCGCTGCCAGGAAAGAGGTCCATACAAGTCTCCACGGATCATACGGCTTTTTACCCAGCGACCAATTGCGAGTTCCTTCCCGAATCATCCCGCCTAAGACACCCAGTGCGCGCGAAGCTCACGGGACTACCATTGCCTTTGGTGCTGGGGCTCTAGCAGGATAAAACGTTAATACAGAATAACCAATCGACCACTTGCAACCTTTGCCATACTCTCATCCATGAGCTAACAACACAACGAACAAACGCAAAACATCAATCAATCATCGAATATAAATTCATATATTCATATTATTTATATTTTTATAACTTCAATTATTTAATCTATCAATAAATATGTATAATATTATATTTTTACATATTTAATTTCTTAATAATCAATCCAATACAAATAATCATCATAATTAATTAATCGATTAATAAATTAATTTCATCCATAAATCAATAAAACAATAAACAAAAGCAATCATCAAATATTAAACAATATATTTATAGAATTTACTATATTAAAATAAAATCAATATAATACATTATAATAATATATATTTTAGCTTCTATTTCATAATCATAAGGTATAAAAATTTTAGAATTCAACATTATTAATTAAAAATATTTAAATATCAAATCCGGTTGCACTAGTTTCCTCCGGACGATTAGAATATTTTTCGCACCCTTTTCACTCGTAAACTACGTGTGTCAGCGAGCAATAAGCCCTTTTAATTCTTCAAATCGTACGGAACACAGAAATAAAGGTAAAAAAGAAAGACCTATATAGAAATCGACCCATAAAGAGGTAAAATAAACAAATAATTCAAAAATCCAAGAATGCCTCAAAAGTATATATTCCCAAATTCCTAGTTCCCAAACCAAACAAAAAATGCAACCTACAAAAATAAAAAACAACCCCTAGAATAACCTTCCACTTTTACAAAATATACCATCAAAATTAAACCACATATCCTAAATCGAGCCAAACTCTCTAAACCCTTAATTCCAAATGCTTAAATAACATATTTAACCCATTCTCCTTCCCAAACTCTTTAAATCCTTTATCCCAAATCTTATTTAAAATCTTTAATCCCTTCTCCTTTTCAACCTCTTTTAAGCCCTTCATCCCAAACATCTTTGACCCGTTCTCCTTCCCAAACTCATATGAGCCCTTCATCCCAAGTCCTTGAAAAGAATCTTTGACTCGTTCTCCTTCCCAAACTCGTTAAACCCTTCATCCCAAATCTTTGAACAACATCTTTGACCCGTTCCCCTTCCCAAACTATTTGAACCCCTCATCCGAATTCTTTGAACAAAATCTTTGACCCATTCTACTTCCGAAACTCTTTAAACCCTTCATCCAAAGTCTGACCCGTTCTCCTCCCAAAACTCGTTGAACCCTTCATCCCAAGTCTTTGAACAGAATCTTTGACCCGTTCTCCTTCACAAACTGATTGAAGCCTTCACCCCAAATCCTTGAACAAGAATCTTTGACCCGTTCTCCTTCCCAAATTCTTCGAACCCTTCATGCCAAGTCTGATCCGTTTTCCTTCCCAAACTGTTGAATTCTTCATCCCAAATCTTTGAACGAAATCTTTGATCCGTTCTCCTTCCCAAACTCTTTGAACCCTTCATCCCATATCTTTGAACAAAATCTTTGACCCGTTCTCCTTCCCAAACTCTTTGAACCATTCATCCCAAGTCTTGGAACAAATCTTTGACCCGTTCTCCTTCTCAACAAAATCTTTGACCCGTTCTCCTTCCCAAACTCATATGAGCCCTTCATCCCAAGTCCTTGAAAAGAATCTTTGACTCGTTCCCCTTCCCAAACTATTTGAACCCTTCATCCCAAGTCTTTGAACAACATCTTTCACCCCATCTCCTTCCCAAACTCTTTTGACTTCTTCACTCTTCACCCCAAGTCTTTGAACAAAATCTTGAACCGTTCATCCTAAGTCTTTGACCAAAACCTTTGACCCGCTCTCCTTCTCAAACTCTTTTGAACCCTTCATGCCAAATCCGTTTGACCCCTTCTCCTTCCCAAACTCTTTGAATCCTTCATCCCCAGTCTTTGAACAAAATTTTGACCCGCTTCTCCTTCCCAAATTACCCGTTCTTCTTCCCAAACCCTTTGAACCCTTCATCCCAAGTCTTTGAACAACATGATTGACGAACACTAACCTTGGTATGGAAGTGACGCTGTACAAGCCCCCATTGCAGGGCGGGTCTGTATTGAAAAATCAATTCCAAGGGGGGATGAATTGAACTATCAATTATTACACCCGGAGGAGCTTACACTTGCTTCGCAAAACACACTCAAGGTATCCCCCTGAGGGCTACCTTTCGTGAATAGTTCACTGGAGGGGCGCTTCGTTCTATGTAACAATAATTGACTAATTATATAAATATCTATATATATACAATTACAGATCTTGTATTATTAGGAATTACTTTATCAATATAGGTTTGTTACTACACCAAATTCAAAGGTCCAAGAGCTCCTCGAGACCCTGTAATCGGAGTCTCATGAATTCTGGCACAATTTCTGCAGGATTTTTGCGCCCTGTTGAAATCTGAGTCAGCAGGTGGTGAAGCCAAACCGGACCCATCTTTAAAGCATAATTCAGCCTCTCTCAGTTTGGCATCCACATCTGGGACCTCTTTCACAAAACCGTTCCTGCTCAAAACTTTCTGGTCTCTCAATGCTTCCCACAAACGCTGGCTTTGTTGTTCATGCCACTGGTGGCTGGCAAAGTTGTAGGTGCTCCGTGGTTGCAAAAGACCCAGAAGCTTGGCAACTTCTGCAGCTTCTGCACATTCACTGAGTGAGTAATCCCAGGAGGCATTGAAAAGCTTCAGCACAGCTCGATGCTCTGCCCGTGGAAGCTTTGGATAGCCCACACGACAAACAAACATACTTTTGTCAGTATCACTCAAGTGGCACAGTTGGGCAAAGAACTCTTCTGCCTGCGTTGCCCGCTGAGGGGCATGTTTGCTCAGATACCTCATCTCTACCAACACATTGCTGGCTTCCCAGCCTGATAGCAAGATGATCGATGTCACTTGGTCATTGCCCGGAGACAAAAGGAAAGCATCCACTGCACGCAACGCATGTGCTCTTTCCAGAGGGCTGCAATGGTCATCTGTAATTTGGACACTGCACAGCCAATTGCTGATGAACAAATGACTTGGCATGTCTCTGAAATCGAGCAGCTGTGGCAAATGCATCCCGCAGCGTTCCAGCTCATCTGCAATCATTGCATGCAAACGGGGACATCCATCGCATTCATTGAGGCAATCAGATATAAAACCTTTTTGCGAAGCATGGCCCCATTCACATTGCTTCTCAACAAGGACTGGAGGAGGACACACTTCAGCTTCGGTTTCTATTTCGACTTCCTTCTCTCTTTGTTTCTCCTGTTCCCTCTCTCGTTCCTGTTCCTCATCCATAGAAGTAACAAGAATCGTCCTCCGAACACAGGAGTTTGTGATCACGCAAGTATGCCAACTGATTCCTGATTCTCTTGTGTGCACGTTCTCTCCAGCGCTGTGTTTCTTGTGGTGTCAGATCTGCATTCTTCAAGCTGTTCTGGGGCATCCAAAGCACGCCTAGGAATCTCTTCCTCACTGGGGCAAGCAGCCAGTGGCTGGCAATACGAAGTCAACTGAAAATTCTCTGGCTCTCTGCAAAGCTTTGCTAAACGCCTGCATTCGGGCCCGAAGCCCCCCTGGACATGTTCCAAGAAGGGCACTTGTGTTGCAAAGGCTGAACCCTGCAATGCCCCAGTGAACAATAGCAGACTTCAACTCCTCTGCTGTCCGAGCTGTGACAAAAGCAAGAACTAAATCCACACTTGGCTCCACTCCATGCTGTTGACTTTCTGCTGCAAGTTGCCTTCCAGCTTCACTGTCCTGTCCACAAAAAGCATAACCTTTTTGACCCAGGCCCAGAAAACACATGCGCATGCAGGCTTGGACTAGCCTGTCTGTGGTGGTCTTCTTGCACACAGTGACTGCTCCAACTGCAGCTGGGGCAAAGCGTAGATCCATTCCACGCGTGTGCTTGTCATCCAAATATGTGAAGCACTCATGGGCAGGTTGAAGCGGCTCTTGGCCAAAGGAGTGTCTTTTCCATCGCTGTCCAGTACCATGATCTGGTTCTCATCATCGACAACGCGCGGGCCATACCACCCAAGAAGATAACGAAGACGTTCTT